TCCACTCATTGATCCAGCCTGTCCAGATCCCCATGTAAGAGCCCTCCTACCCTCCAGCAGATCAACACTCCCACCCAACTTGGTGCCATCTGCAAACTTACTGAGGGAGAACTCGATCCCCTCATCCAGGTCATCAATAAAGATATTGAACAAGACCAGCCCCAGAACCGAGCCCTGAGGAACACCACTTGTGACTGGCCACCAGCTGGATTTAACGCCATTCACCACAACTCTCTGGGCTCAGCCGTCCAGCCAGTTCTTTATCCAGTGAAGAGTAAACCTGTCTAAGCCACGAGCCACCAGTTTCTCTAGGAGGATGCTGTGGGAGACGCTGTCAAAGGCTTTACTAAAGTCCAGGTAAACAACATCCACAGCCTTTCCCTCATCCACCAGGCGGGTCACCTGGTCATAGAAGGAGATCAGGTTGGAGAGATCCTGCTCCTGTACCTTCAAGACCACCTGCAAGATTTCCTTCTTGAAGAAGCATGTCCAGCCTTCCTGGGCCCTTTTGCCCTTCAGGACAATCTCCCAAGGGAGTGTCTCAACCAGTGACCTGAACAGGCCAAAGTCTGCCCTCCAGAAGTCCATGGTAGCAGCTTTGCTGACTCCCTCCTTACTTCACTCAGAATAGAGAACTCTATCATGTCATGGTCGCTAAGCCCAAGATGGCCTCTGACCACCACATCTCCCACGAGTCCTTCTCTGTTTGTAAACAGCAGGACAAGCAAGGCACCTTCCCTGGTAGGCTCACTTACCAGCTGTGTCAGGAAGTTATCCTCCACACACTCCAGGAACCTCCTGGACTGTTTTCTCTCTGCTGTGCTATACTGCCAGCAGATGTCTGCTAAGTTGAAGTCCCCTAGAGGAACAAGGGCTAGCAATTGCGAGACTTCTGCCAGTCACTTACAGAATGTTTCACCTGACTCTTCATCCTGGTTGGGTGGTCTATAACAGACTCCCAGCAGGATATCTGCCTTGTTGGCCTTGTTTAGGGGAAACTAACAAGCATCTTTTAGTTACTACTTGTGCTGTGTGCTGGAAATTAAGCCATGGAAAGAACCTGCAGGTAGCTCCATGCACCACCGTGTTTGTGCACGTTGGATGTGCAGTAACACTTGGAGCTTGCCTCCATTGTATTTTGCTGACACATGGAAGCCATGTTAGCACTGTGCTAAGCTGTAGCCAATTGTCAGGATCTCTGCTGACTGAACTGCTTATGCAGTGCCTTAGAGAAGCCATACAACTTTGCGTTCACCTGAGGTGTGGGGCAAACATAGCTGAGCAAATTTGTTCCCCATCTCTAAGGGATCATGTGAATACAGCTTTATGAAAGCTGAGATTTCAGATCTTGCAGTGGTAATGCTATATATGGCCAAGCCTACTTTGTAAAACTCTACGTGATTTTACCATCCCAGCCAGAATAGAAAGATTTTGCTTTCTCTGTTAATGTAGAGAAAGGTTAAGAATCTGGAGAAGCAGAAAGTTTTGAGAAACTGCCAAAGCCTGTGTAGCCTTTATTTCCCAAGTGGGAATTTAGACGTTCTAGAGACATGAAGATGATGAGCAGTTTTGGCAAATGCCTTTCCCTGCCCTTCCCCAGGTTCAACTTCAGTTCAGCCATATCTCCTCTCCCCTTCCTAGTTTCCACTTCCCTCCTTTTCACTGCACATTATGCTCCATCCCTCTGGTGAGGTGACAGGAAGTACAAGAGGTGGGGATCAGTGCATGAGTTTCTCTTTTGCCACGTGTTGCTTCTTTCTCTTTTCTGCCACTGTTCCTTCCTCCTTGTTTCTTCTGCTCTGGTGTGGGCTTCTTTGTGGGCCTCAGTCCCCTGGGACTCCTCCTTCCTAGAGGGTGTCTCCAGCCCTATGCCCAGTACACAGTCCCCTTCCATATGTTCCTCTCTCATGTCTCCTGTTGTGCCTACCCCTCCACCTCCTGTGTCCCCTGCTCCAGTGGCTCTTGCCCTTTCTTAACTGTGTCTGAGTGGTTGCAGTGTTGGTGCGTGGTGGCTTGCTTCCATCCATTGCCAAACATGGTCTGGGACCACAGGGGTGACCCCTGCAGCCAGTCCCCTGCCACCCAAACCCTGCTGGTTATGCCTAACACAAACTTCCTGCTTGGCTTCAAGTTTTTCTGGTTTGGGAACTGCACTCTAGTGAAAAAGATGCTGCCTGTGATAAATTCTGGTGATAGGATTTCCTTCTTACATGTCTCTTTCTCCAGCAAGCAGACATTTTTATCAAATCTTGTATGTATCGTTCAGGCACATATTTTTGTTTCCTTCTGAAAAAAGGTTTCTTTAGAAACTAAATTTTGTTATTATGGAAATCTTAAGTTTTTATACTGGATTAAAAGTGCTGAGATTTCCCCAAATAGCGTACTCACTGGTATATGATCCAAACTGCCTCTCAAACTGTGGTCTTTTTATATAGATTATGAAAATGTGATGGTCTTAAAACATTTTTGCTAATAACTTTAATGAAATGCCCTCTGTTTGTTATATATTATACAGTATTTTCCTGTCCTCTGCTTAATTCTGCCACAGCAATTCTATAGCTCTGTTCACAGATCTCAGTACTGACGTGCTCCCTTCTGCAGTTTCCAGACAAAGCTGTTTCAACAAGCAAGACAGAGCAAGGTGGCAAAAATGTGGTTTCCCTGCTTCACCAGTAGTCAGCAGGATGCAGTATCCTCAGGTGCTGTGTTCTTGAGCAAGGATGTGGAAAGAGATTTTAAACTGTGAGACCAGCTAAACACAGGCCTCTGTAGTCTGTGCCCTGGGAGCATCCTTGTCATAAATGCAGTCAGGTCTAGGGGATTTTTGTATGTGACTTGGGGTAGAGCATGTGGGGTTTGACAGATAACTGAGTAACCTGGCTTTAGGGTTTATATCAGAGTTCAGAGTGATCTTATGGACTGTCACTTTCCAGCAGCTCAATATTAACACATTTAGAAATCTGTACAGAGCAAATCCTGTCAAGCTACCCAAAACAGAAATCTGCAGTGCTGCCCATACTTGAAGTGAGATACCTGTGAAGTATTATTTGTCTTTTTAAGATTTACAGTTAACTGCTGTTCTGCTAAGCAAGGTCAGGTTTTTCAGGTCTTAGTTAGATGCCAGCTACTGCTGTGTTGATGATGCAATGTTTCAAACGTTTATTCAGTAGGTTAGGCCTGACTTGATTCTTGAGTTTATTGCATTTGCAGAAATAATGGTGCAGTAAAAATGCTTAATGTTCTACCTAAGAAAGCTTAAGATGGCTGACAGAATATATGGGATGAAGAGCCTTTTAGCGTCTGATTGGCATGCCTTCAGAAGTTATATTTAAGAGTTAGAATTAGGTGGAATGTCAGAGATATTCATATTTTATTTTGGCTTTGTTTCAGTTTGAGGCTTGTGAGTGCTGAACAGTCCTGTGTGGTTAAAAATGTATTGACTTGATCCCTAGGGGATGTATAAGACCCCTGAAAGATGTTTTGATATTTAGATTTACTTGTCAAAAATGTTTCTTTCTTTCTTGAAGTTTGCACTTTGTGTCACACAGTATGATGGTTTGCTCTTTTGCAGCTCCCCAACTACACCATTAGTAGAGGTCATACTTGCTTGAAATCATTAGACAGATAACGGAATGCAGAGGAGGAGGGAGAAGTACACCAGTGAAAGAGTAGTTTCACTGCTGGCAGAGCTGCTCTCCCTAAGTCTTTCCAGATAAATGAGAGCAAACGGTATTGCAGTTATGTGGTAGTCATGTGCAGAGGAGCTGGGAGGAAACTCGTGAGGGTGGACTAGGTAGCCTTTAAAGGTCTCTTCCAACCCAAAGATTCTATGAAACACTGCTGGGGAAGCAGTCATATAAAACACAACACTAGCAGACCTTGACTCACCAGAGTCCTGAGCAGTTGTCTTTAGGAATACTTGAGGAAGACACCTCCTTGAGGGGGAAAGGTGGGTTGCCTGGAGGATCAGGATGAAGCAAGGCAACACAGTTGGGCTTGTCCTTCCCATTCACAGGGAGAAAGCAAGCACCCGATCTGTGAGGTCAACCAGGGACCAGCAGTGGGAAAGGATCCCCTTGGCATCATGCGGTTGCCCACACTGTAACTTTGAGCTTCCACAGGGAACTGTGTGACTATTTTTTTCCTTTGGGATTATGGGTGTGTTCTTGTTTTCTGTTGGAATTCTCAAGAGTTTTGCACTCAAGTCAAACCCCAAGAACTGAAGGACATGGGCCCTCACGGTTGGTGTGTGTATTTTGTAACAAGCAGTAGTGGCTGTACGGGTGGGTAAAAGCAAACAAAAAACCCACAAAGCCCGTGCCAGCAGAACTGCCTACCCTACTTACTCCCAGAAGGAGTTCTCCTTTTCTTTCCTTTCAGTTTCTAAGCTGGAATTTAGGTTATCTTGCCCTCTGCATCTGCTCCAGCATATCTCTTAGTAGTAATTTCTGTCTGAGAGCTCAGCTTCTGATATTGTCCCTGCCCCGATTATCTGCTGCCTGCTAGTGTTCTTAGTTTAAGCTATCTTTTCAGCTGTGACACTACTTCAGATGTGCCTAAGCTTGCTGACTGAAGAGATATTTGGTGCTGTTGCAGGAGAGTGTCCCAGGAAGAGGTATGTTTGAGGTGACTTTGTCCCCATCTGTCTTACAAAGCCAGGATGGCTGCTTCTCAGCTGATAGATTGGCAAAGGGCCAGGAAAGGCGTAAAGCCAGAGGAAGCCCAGAAAAGTAGATTTCCCTCAAATTTGGAAGGCAAAGAAACACTTAGGTTTGCTAAAGTGTGGTAAGATATTTTTGGATGATGGTGGGATGGAGTGAGTATGTAGAAGAGAGCTATCTGGAGGAAAGGCCTTTTGTCAAGGTATGAGGCAGGAGAGGCTTGAGGCTCTCCTTCTACGTGATAATGTTGTCGAGGGTGAGATTCCTGCCAAGGGTCTGGGGTTCGCATGCTGAAGGCACTACCTTAGGGGAGCTGCAGTCCCTGCTCCTGCTGTCAGTGCCTCAACTGCTCAGAGAGATCTTGTTACTATCTGCACATTGAGCAGAGCTGGAGGTCTGGCCACAAAGGTGTTTGCATCGTCTGTGTTATGGATCCATCTGGAGATGCAGCACTTGGTGTGGTCCTCGGCATCCTCACAGGGTAGACAGCCACAGTCCCCAACACTGCTGTCACTGTCCCAGCTACACAAATGATCTTTTCTCTCTCTCCTTGTTGAAGGCAGAAATGGAGTTGCAGTGACTTCCATGCTGTTTCTTTGCAGGCTGGGAAGCAACAGTCCCTGGCATGGCTTTCAAATTCCCAGCTGCACAGGGAGCTCTTGATCCTGCCCATATCCAAGGCAGAGCTGCTCTGATTTCCTAGGGAGGTAACCGACTGCAATGTGGAAGTGAAGCGTCTGAAATACGAAGAGAAGCTGAGAGCTGTGACTCTTCAGCCTTGAGCAGAGCAGGGTTCAGGGGGATCTTACCAACGTATATAAATAACTATGGCAGGAGTGAGGATGAAGCCAGGCTCTTTTAGTACTGTCCAGTGACAGGACAAGAGGCAGCAGACACAAATTGAAATACAAGGATACAAGTAATTCTATTTAAATATTAAAAAACATATTTTACTTTTTTCCTGTGAGGATGGTAAAACACTGGAACAGGTTTTCCAGAGAGGTTGTGGATTATCCGTCCTTAGAGATATTCAAAACCTGATTGGACATGGTCCTGAGCAATCTGCTGTAGCTGACTCTGCTTTGAGGAGGGGGGGTTAGACTAGGCTAGCCCAGGGGTCCCTTCCCACCTCAGCCATTCTGTCATACAAGTGTGCATTTTACAAACCTTCATAATCCTATGCTTCAGTTAATAGATCATGTACAAATAGTGGCCGTATGTTATGTCTTCGTGTGCCAGACACAGTAACAATAATTGGCGAAATGCTTTTCTCTAGATGTTAGGTCAGAAATAAATCTTGGGAATGTAAGGAAAAACTATTGGCCCTTTCAGACTAATGTGTTTGTGAAAGGTGGTGGGGCCTGGGAGAGCGGGACAAGGATAACCCAGTGCTGAGTTATTCCTGCAAAACTTGTGTCCTTTGCTGCTGTTCTGATTTACTGACAAGGTTGCTCAGTGAGAACAACACCACTGCTTGGTGACTGAAGTAGGGAGATTTAGGACATTCTATTAGTGATGAGGAAGTAAGAAGGCATGAGCAAGTTCTGGTCTGAGCAGATGTAGTAAGAGGCAATGATTCTGTTATGTTTGTGTACAATATGAAGACAATAACACTCACCACACAGACTTTCTATCATAGGCTTTTAAAGGTTTATGACTCTATTTAGATGTGTCCTACTGTTCTTTGAGAACTGATAGCTTTAACTGTATTCCAGGTTACCTCCTTTTGATGACCATAGCCTGCCCTGTTCTGCATCTGAAACTTGGAAAATGACTAGCATTTTTTACAAATGCTGATGGGAAAAAACAAACAAAACCAAAAAGGCTTCCTTTGATAGATATTCTGTATATGAATAAATCCTCCTAATGGCATAAATCAGTAGGCTCACCCTATGTGCTATTTAAAAAAACAGCATACCTCTAAAATTAGAAATGTGAAAAATGGCTCACTTATGACAACTGTTTCCTTGTAATTCCTTTTTCAGGCTGCTACACCTTCCCCTTCTTCAGACAAACTGGATTTCTCCCCAGGTGTGTCAGAGAAAACCCAGGCTCCCACAATGGTCCCAGATAATGTCACTGAAGGTGCAATCGTGCTACTTCCCACTAATACTGTGTCATCTGAGCCCGTGCAGCAATTCACATCACCTGCTACTGCTGCTAAAGCAGGTAACGTTTCAACACAGCCAGAGATCTGAGGGGTACCTGCAGGTTGGACAGTGGGTGGGTGTGGCTTTACTTACTGTCAGACTTCCAACCTATTATTAGTTATGAGCTTGCTGTTTATCCAAATGTAACCTCATCCCACCTTAAGCGTGTTAGACCTACAGTAACACTGCAAACTCCAGACCCTTAGCCAGTTACTTGTGAGGCAAAACTCTGACAAAGACCGTCATTAATGGGAAATTATAACTTGAGCAAATGCAGTAAAGTAAAAAGTAGAGATTAAGAGTCTTTTTTTAAATGGGTTAATTTTTGTACCTGGTGAGAAATACCTGAGGCTTTGTGGAGTATCAGAATAGTCTCTTCTAGTCATACTGTTATTTTTGTGTGACTCTTCAGAATATTGCTCCCTTTGTGAAACTGTTCCATAAGGTTCCCACCATATATAGTTGTCAGATATCATGCAGCAACATAGGTGGGACCTGAAAAAGCTCAGCCCTTAGTAGAGGAGAAGCCTAACCCTTAGTGGGGTAAAACATGGCCTCCTCATCCTATGAAAATAAAGTTTTGCTTTAATTTCAAAGCTGTGAGGCAGCTTATCAGACTTGCATCTGCAGAGCAGAAGTTTTTATTTTGAAAAGGACATCTTTAACGACTGTGTCCTCTGTAGTGTTAAATTCCGTGTGTATGTTAGAGTATCTCCTTTCTCCTGCTGGGTTTCCTGCCTCCCTGTACCCCCTGACAAAGGGTTAGAAGGGCCAGAAGAAACAGAAGCACAGGTTTGTGTTATCCTGCACTCCTGAGGTACTCAGGGATATGGAAAGCTAAGCCTTTTGCTTCCTGGTAGAGCAAGTCTGGTTTGGGACATTCTTGGCACCCGCTGCCAAACTGCAGCCTGCCAGCCAGGATAGCAGTAGGAGGTAACAGGAAGAGATGAGCTACAAGAGATCCCTCTCCAAGGCAATGGATCATCATTACCATTGAGTGTTGATGAGGCAGCTCCTCCTCCTCCTTCACAGGAGGAGGCTGAAGAGGACACAAAAAGGAGCTTGGAAGAAGAAGCTGAAGGGATGGTTGTAATGAATCTCACTGTAAGTACTACTTTGTGCAAGGATTGCCTCAAGTTTGTGTGTGCTCAGCGCTACTGTCTTGGAAGTCTTGAAGACAATCCCTCCTCTCTTTTGGTCATCACCCTCATCTAGTCGTTTTATTCTCATCTCATGTGGAGGTCAATGGATTTTTAGAAGTACAAACCTCCACTCCATTGGTGTCTAGGGCAACTCCCATGAGCAATTATGGAGCCTTGGGTGGATTTAAGTAGCCGTTACAGGAAGTATGCTGTCAATGTGGCCTCTTCATCCATTTTTAGACCTGTCAGCTGCTACTGTTGAGTAGCCTCTTGCTCATATATTGGACGTTTAGACACTAGTGAATGTTTCCTTTGGAGAACCTTTGTTCTGTGGGTTCCCAATATTAGAAGGAAGGCATTTAAAACCTTTGAAATATAGGTCTACGGGAACGTTTTCTGAAGTTGTACTTTTGTATGTTTCTATTGGGGACTGGATTTTTGGACTTTGGCATTTTTGGAAGAGGAAAGAATTTTCGTATATGAGAACTGGGAGGGTGTTCCTGGATGGCAAATAGATTGAATGTGCAGTTCAGCTATAAAATAACATCTTTGCCCTGCCATACAAATGGAATTTTTAAAAGGGACATTGAGGTGTGCCTCACAAGTGCCACACAAACATAGAAGTAGTGCTTCTTGGTGAAAGAAGGCATGATATTGGAGTTCTAGTATGGACTGTTACTTTATTTAATGAGGTTTGTTCTGGTGCACATGGCTTTTTTTGTCTTGCGTAATGGCATGTTTTTTGGATTCCTGCAATTCCATCCAATTACTAAGAAAAATGCATAATTCTTTATGCAGAGCAGTGTTACATGTGGTATACAGGAATAATCATAATGCTTTTCTCTAAAAGAGAAGCAGGGGAAATTACACTTTATATTTGGAGAAGAAGAAAAATTTTCATTTGGTAAAAGTCCAAGGAGCCATAGTCATGATTATACTAGATTATTATTTGATTATGTATTAAGGAATTTTTTACTTATCCTTGCCTATCCACTGTAGAGTGTTTTTCAAATTTTACTTATCCATTACAAATAATATTTGAAGATACTAAATTTATATCCATCCCATCTGTTAAAACATAATATACTCATTTTGTCTTAGATACAGTAAAAGAACTTATTGTGTCTGCTGGAGATAACATACAAGTGGTGCTACCCAGAAATGAGGTTGAACTGAATGCCTTTGTTGTCCCACCACCACCTACAGGTGAGTTGAATGGCCTTGGCATACAAAGAGGTGCACACACTACCAACCTGCAAATGCAGACAAGTCCCAAGTTATGTGAACATCCACACCTCATGATAAAACCATCTTTCTCATCTCCTACTGCTACCTTTTTTGTGGCTCCAACTGCAGAGAGGATTTTGTCCTTTAGATTTTAGAGGGTTTTTTGTTGTTGTTTTTAAGTGGCTTTTATTTTCAGAACATGAACTTATTAGCCAGGTGGTTCAACAGAAAGCCTGTAGTTTCTACCAAAAGATGATGTGGCCTAGGTTATAGCATCTTGCTGTAAAACAGAGGGTGGGGGAAAGTAGGTTCGTGCAACATTTACCTTAAAACTACCAGCTTCTGAGCTGCAGCAGCAAAGAATACGTATTTCATAGGTAGCTATGTAAAACTTCGCTGCATGTGAAGCTGATTTTTGTGAAGAGGTCAGTTATTTGTGAAGTCCATTATGTCCTTGCTACTTTACCAAGTTACAACATACTGTGGAATTTTAACGTGTTTGTACTGCTTCATTTTGCAGGCTCAAACAGTAGCAGTCATGATTTCCTTCTGTAGCATTTTATCTGATGGATGGTGAACTTCATTTCTTTGTCTCCTGGGCTTATCTTGAAGGCAAAGCTGATCAGTCTTATGCTGTGTTATTGCTCTTAGAAACAGCCTACACCTATGAGTGGAGCTTAATCAGTCACCCTGATGACTATGGTGGTGAAATGGAGCGCAGACACAGCCAGACCTTGAAGCTGTCTCATGTGAGTGAGCTGTAAGCTCAGGCTTACTGTGTTTTTGTGGTCCTTTCACAGGAATCTAACCTATGGGGAAGGGCATCTTGATTTGAGGAGTTCAAATGACTGCCAGAGTTATCTTCACTTGCATGTGTCACCAAATCTTTGCCAGATTAGAAGTGTTTTTTTTAGAGTACTCTAATAATTTTTTAAGATGGAATAAAAATTGGTGTTTGCTTTGTATTCCCCACTTCTGGGCAGTGACTAGTGGCTTTTTATGTATGGGTTTATAGAAGGAGCTCTAGTTTTCAGATAACTGGATTTTTCTCTGTTAACAATATGATTGGCAGATTTGTGCATACTGCTTTTATATAATTCGACACGTAACCCAATTTGTTCTGTGTTTGCCTCAGTTATCGGTGGGACTTTATGCCTTCAAAGTGACAGTTTCTGGTGAAAATGCCTTTGGTGAAGGTTTTGTAAATGTCACGGTCAAACCAGGTAAATCAGTTGGCTAAAATAATGAAATTAATTTCTTCAACACAAGTAGTTGTACAAAGTGCTTATCTGATAGCCTGTCACTATCTGTCAGGGACATCTGGTAGTCCAGTCATGCAGAGATGTTTCATATCTTGATGTCTATAAGTCATTTGAAGGACGTGCTTTCTGGTCTTGTGCCCTCCTCAGGCCAGGCCTGAGATAGCATCGTGCCGCTTTTTATGGTCCCCTTCTCCACTACAGCTAGGAACAACAATTAGGTGCTAAACTGGCTCTAGCTGCAAGTTACAGTGCACCGGTCTGATCTAAATTGTACCAGTTAGAAGTGACTGCAGCAGAAGACTGCTACATCAGTGCACTGCTCTTCAGTAACCTTTTAACTCCCTTGTCAAAAAGGACAGCACATGCTGCAAAGCTGTCAATCCTAAATTTAAATCAGTGGGGGCTACTGATCTGTAGAGTTAACAGATTAGTTTTGCCTGGGCTTTCACTATTTTTTTTTTTGTCTCCCCACCCCCCACCCCTGTCTTTCTCACAGCAGTCAGAGTTAACCAGCTGCCTGTTGCCGTTGCTTCACCCAAAGTACAAGAAGTTTCTTTGCCTACAACTTCTACCTTCATTGATGGCAGTCGTATGTACTGGACCATCCCGTGCTTATATCCCATATTTTTAATACACAGTTACAACATTATTTTTTGTCAATTACAAGTGAAATTCTTTCTTCTCACTCTACTCAGAAGTTCACTGAATCACGATTTATTTCAGGGATTTGAGTCCAGTCATAAATTATTTTAATAAATAAAAAAGTGATAAAATGCAACCTTCCACTGAGGGATTGAGATGCAATGCATCAGAAGCTGCTGCATTCAAACAGCAGCTACTGTTACAGCTTCTTCCTGTCCTGCCCAGAAGGCCTGTGTGCCAGTACAGCTGGGGCCATGGTAGAGAGCTGTGGCGTAGGGTATGATGAGATCTCATAATTACTGAGAGCAGACAAGTTGGAATGTGCAGAGTCTGAGATTGATTTTTTTTTTTTTTTTTTTTTTTTACTTGTGTGTGAAGATTTTTTTGTTTGTTCGGATAAACCATACCAAATGTAACTTGGAATCTGTGGTTTAACAGCTGTGGTATATCAACCCTCTTCAAATATGCTTAAAAAGATAATTGTAGAAAACTGGTTAGGGGTCAGTGCATGAAAGACTTTGGTATTCATTACAGTGATTGCTACAAGACTGATACGTTTTTCTTTAATGAATGTAGAAAGTATAGATGATATGAAGATAGTGAGTTACCACTGGGAGGAAATTAAAGGTCCTTTGCGAGAGCAGAAGGCATCTGCTGACACACCTGTCTTGCACTTGTCTAACCTTGTTCCTGGAAACTACACTTTCAGGTACCTGCACAGATGCTTTCCTTTGGGGTTTTAACTATCTCTGTGATGTCAGCTTAATTTTTCTTTCTCTGTGTGCTCACATGTACCTCAAACAAAAGAATGTTCATTTTTCTTCTGCATGCTGTTACCATCATTTTGCACAGTGGAGGGACATAGGGAGCAGTTTTATTAAAAAGTGCTTGCAGTGATCTTGTGATACTGATATAGTAATACTTTACAGCACAGTTATGCAAAACAAGGTATCAGAAATTAAATACCTCCCACTCCCAGCAATGATAACTGTGATAGAACTTTTTTTTTGTTTCCCCCAGCTTAGAAGCTGGCAAGTGTCCTGAGATGAAACTGCAGTCAGGCTGTGAAGGTCATCCCCTGAAGGGTGGTGGCAGACAGAACGGTATCAGGAGAGTGATCCTCACAAGGCATTGTTGTGTGCTAATTTTAATTAAGAGTCATTCTGTTCTTCATAAAAGCCTTTGCCTTGCTACTGTCTTCTTCCATTTATGCATTGCTGAAGCTAGATTTTGTCCAGACAATGGAAGCAATGTTTGTGGTTCTGGGTGCTTTAATGAAAATTTGAGTTCATTTTCTGAACTTTTTAACTTAAAGCCTAGTCTGCACAAAGGCAGACTTCTGAGTGACCCAGTCTGGGTTATTTGGCTGCCAGTGGGTAACACGCTACCAGTCAATATATTATGTATCAGTGTAGCATTAGCAGCATGTTGAAGCCAGCACACATGTACATTAAACATGGTGCTTTACATAAGCTTCACCAAAAATTGCATAGCTTCAACTTTCATTCTGTGTTCTTTACTGGAATTGTTCCATATTGTACAGTGGCAGAAATGAGCGTAGGATTTTTTCTGTATTAAAAAGGGCAGAGCTTGCTTACAAGCAATGCTACAAGTGTCTTCCAAACCCTAGGGAATTAAGAAATCACTTGCTATATCTGTGCACCTTTGCAGGAGGCTGAGGTCCTTGAACAATAGAGCAGTGTGTTCAAGCTTACAGGAAATTAGCTGGTCAGCAAAATTCAGTGTTCCTGATACACACTGGATGTGCACCCACTGCAAAAGTATGCATTCCCTAATGACAGAATTAACGAGCACTAGTTTTGTTGCTATTCAAGGAAGGCTTCAAGAGTCGTTCCCTTCCATGTGGTGAGCTCTATGCAGTTTTCACAACAGAGGTGAACTAGGAGATGTAGTCAGTTACCATGCTGTGGAGGGCAGTCTTTCATCACTTTCAGGTGTCTGCAGCAGTCTTATTTTAAGATGATTTGTTGTTGTGTTTCTGAGAGGCAATAGTGGTTTTTATAAACCCTGTACTTTTTTAGTTTTGTGACTTGACATCTTCAAACATCTGAGCTGATATTGAGCTTCAGTAAAATTAGTAAGTGTACCACAAAGAAATAAGAAGTTAGGAACTGCTACTGTGCTATAAGCAGAGCTTTTGAATATCCAAAGTAGTTTTGGATGTAGGTGTTAACAGGGACTGTTCCGCTATGGCTGATGAATGAAATCCCTGTTTTTTACTGAGTAAATTTTTTAAAGAATTTACAGTGAGATATGTTTGAAATTGATGGAGTTGCCATTGACTGCAGAGAAAGGGTTTCATCTGGGATGCAGAATAGATAGGCTTTTTTTTTCTTACAGGTTGAAAGCTGTGTTTGAAAAGAGTCTTCTGAATTTCTTTCCTACCTTATTTGAGGGATACGTGTTTCTGAAGCAGAAGCTTGTATAATGTCATCAGTGGCTCTGTTTTAGGTGGTCTTTGAAAAAGTGCAACAAAAGTTAACCTTTGAACTTAGGACTTGGCAGAAGTCCATCTTAACAGATTTCCAATATTATTTTTCCTGTTGTAGACTCACAGTGATTGATTCAGATGGAGCAGCCAACTCCACCATTGCATTTCTGACTGTCAGCAAACCAGTGGATTACCCACCCATTGCCAATGCAGGACCTAATCAGGCAGTCACCTTGCCCCAGAACTTCATCACGCTGAATGGAAACCAGAGCAGCGATGATCATGAAATTGTCAGCTATGAGTGGTCACTCAGTCCCAAAAGCAAAGGCAAGGTTGTAGCAATGCAGGTATGTTGTGTTTTTCCTTGCATAGGATTGGAAAGCTCATTTATCTTCACCACTAACATGAGCAAACATGTACCTAAGTAACTACTTGGAACCACTGAAATATCTAGAGTGCTGTTACTTTACCCAGTTGTATTCAGCTCTTACTTTAGATACTACTTTTAATTCCATTTCATAATTTTTTTCATCCTGCTGTTTGTTCCCTGGGGGTTTGGAAAGACTGAGTTCACAATGTCTGTCCTTGGACCCTAGAGCCTGCTCCACAGATGTCTAGCCTCTCAGAAGATGGATAAGCTGAAAACTGGTTTTGAGAGAATGTGGGCATAGTCAGAGTTTTCTTGTAACACTTTCTCTTGGAAAAGTAAGACTCAGACAGAAATTTAATTTTCTGAGTGAAAGATGACAAGACTTTTGGCAGTGGTACGCAACCACGCTTTGTGGTGAGTTTTTTATGCTCACTAAAACATAGGTTTCCTATGAAGGCTAACTGAATTAATTCTTTTATTTTCATGACTGTTTTGGTTTGGTTTTTAAATCTGATAAAAATTCACAAAAATTTCCAGTGGATTTGCACTCAGTAAGTTGGAGATTCTTGTAGCTCTGTAGGCAGTTGAGGAAATTAATTCAATGAAGCCAGCTGAAACTCAGAAGCCATTTTTTATGAGACACAACTTCTGCTATGTTGCAAATGCTTTAGACCTTCAGAACTGGAAAGAGATCAATTTGTAGGTCTGTTTAGGAAAGGAGTAATATTGATGCAAGCATATACTGTAGAGGCAGTTATGGAACTATGGAAGGACTTACAGCATAATGGCTTATTTCTGTTCATTTACCAAGACAAACACTTTCCAAAAGCATCCATGCAACCTGCACTTGTAGTTTTTAAGAGCTGTTCATTCTTAAAGCAGCCTTCCTGAAAGAAGGGAATGACTGCTTGAGCTATCTAACTGATTCATTGGATATTTAATGTGGAAATGTAAGAGCATTTTACAATTTCTTTTCAAGAGCCTGGTAATCTTTTTCATGTTCCTAAAGCTGAGGATGCTGGTCTCGGGTGTGTTACATGGTATCCATGGTGAAAGTGCAATGTAACAAGTACCTCTGCTGGTTAGTTAATCATTTATCAAGTCCCTTAGTTCTCATTATCATCTTTATAAAAAAACAAACCTAACTGCATTGTGATTTGTTGTTCCTCATAGGAGAGATGCCACAAATGTTCATTTTATTGTCCAAAGGACTGATAGCTGTGCCCAGTCATTTTATGAGCTTGTATAGATATCAACTAATACAACTATACTCAGGACAGAGTTGTCTTGCTTAATATATTTTTTCCATAGCCTATCTGGCTGGGATCAAGTCAAGCTTGGTTTTGCATTTAACAATTTTTATAAATACCATATTAAAGAATGTAATGATGTTTGTTTTAAAATATCTCTGGGGAAATGGAATAAGCTATAGGAATTTCCCTCAGTGTTTAATTTCCTAATTGAGAAAGTTAATGTCCCGTGTGTTTCACAGTTGTTATTGTTCAGAAATAATGCAACAAGTACACCAACAAAAGACATTAAGGTTTATTGTCTATAGATACTTCTCTGGGTTGGTAGGGACAGCTGCAGTAGTGAATACATTACATCTGTCTGTGCATCACCTTTAAGTCTTCTCTTTGTCTACGAGATGCTTAAACTGCTTGCTAAAACGCTGTATTTATTATGAAATAAAACAAATTTCATTTTTTCTTCACATTTGCTTTGTAAGACCTTTCATAATCCATGAGTATTTCTGTTTTATCTCCCACTCTCTGTCTTTATAAATGCTGTGTAGGGAGTGCGGACACCGTACCTCCAGTTATCTGCAATGCAGGAAGGAGATTATACGTTTCAGCTGACTGTCACAGACTCTGCAAGGCAGCGGTCCACAGCTGAGGTCACACTGATTGTACAGCCTGGTAAGTCAGCTGCAGGCACGTCTGGGTCCCTCAGGGGTGGGCCAGCCTGATGCCTTAGAGCTGTCCTCGAATGCCGCATCTCCCTGCATGCCTCATCTTACCCGCATTGCACCACTCAGATGGCAGTCTGAATGTCTGGTATCCTTGCATCAAGGACTCTTCCACCTCCATGTTCTGTCAAAGTGAACAGTGAAAACAAGTGTAGAATCATAGAAAGTCCAGGTGGTGATCCTGAGGGCTCACACGAGCCTGACTATGTAAGGCAACCTGTACAGAGATGTGTTTGAGTGTACTTCTAAAAGCTAAAATGTATCTCTGGGTTTAATGTCCTACAAAGTCTGCTTTGCAAAGCTGTTCAGAGTATCAATCAGTGCTTTGGTCAGTTGTCTTACTGTTTTGCAGTTCTTCAAGAATCCTTGTGTGATTTGAATTCTCACTAGAATTGCATTGCACTTTCTAGGGAAAAGTGTAAAGCAAGGAATTTTGGAAAGCTGCATCTTCCACGCATTTTAGATTTGGGAGATAAGTGATGAATGGGCCCAGATGGTCCTTTTTTTTTTTTTAAATGTATTTGCCTATTACATCTGAAGTAGCTTTTTCTGCCCATCTGAAGGTCTCGCATTCCACCATGGGGTAACGTTTTTTCTTCCTGTTGTTGCTTATTTCACTTCTGGGAAAACTTTACAGTGGACATTTACTGCAGAAATTAAGAACATGAATTGGAAGTACAGCATGTGGTGATGTCTTTTAGACCCTTTATAGTGTGGAAATAGGAATCCTCAGAGCCTCTAAATGGGCGTTAACTTAGTGGTGTCGTGCTGACCTTGAGCAGCAGAAAACCTGTGCCAGTATCTTCTCTGAGGGCAAAGAACCATATTTGTGTGGGTGGTTTTGGAGTGGATGCAGTGGTGGAACCAAAAAAATACTCTACCACTCTTGTTATAAAACATTTCATACAGTGCATTGAATATGCTGCAAAATTCTTGGAGTGTGACTGGGCCTTCAGATATGACTGTGAAAAAGGGAAGTACTTGCTGTGGGATTTGGCTTGTTGCAGAGCTGGTCTCTCCCACCTAGTATTTTCCGCTGATTTGAACACATTATACTTGTGATTTGTACCTTTGACATAGTATATCAAATTTGTAATGTAACAGTCTATGTAAAATCTTCCTTCTGGCAGTCCTTGCCAGTGACTACCTAACAAATGTTATACACTAAATACTATTTTTACAGAAAATAACAGTCCTCCAGTAGCAGTGGCTGGCCCTGACAAGGAATTGACTTTCCCAGTAGAAAGTACTGTACTGGATGGAAGCAAAAGCCAAGATGACCAAGGCATTGTCTTCTATCAGTGGGAAAATATCAGGTATCTAGAGATTTTACTAATCCTCTGTAAAATAGAGAACAAAGTGAAAGTGACTGGGTGCCAGAGCCTCTTAAGCAATTGTGTTGGGTGATGCACTGTTTGAGAACTGCTTTGAGGCTCTTCCCGCTCAGGTAGTAATACGGTAAAAGACAGGAATTTTGAGTTCAACTTGGATAGCTTAGGCAATCTCTGCCAGTCTTTTGCAATGTGTCATTTTGAGGCCAACTGATACGAAGTTAAGAGAAAATGACAGGAACATGTCTCCTGTTAAAAAGTGAGTAACAGGCTTGGGTTACTTGGGTACCAGTAATGTACACAGTTTTCCCATCTGTGCTTAGAACTAGGGTTTCTCAGTCACTTGTTCGTTGAATAATAAAGTAAATTGACAATCTGTTTAGCCTGAGCTTTCAATAGTAGGTGACTAAAGCACTCCTGAATGATGGATGAAAATGTTCTGCAAAAGTTTTATGTTTATATGCAAAAGTAATTGATCCTTAATAAACGGACAAGGTTTAGCTCATGCAGCTGTCATATTCATGGTACAGGAAGAGGTTTGCTGGCACCCTGTATATATTGTGAGTAGGTCTTAGAGCGACAGTGTTTGCATGCTCCCATGAAATAGTACAGCGAGGAGGTTGAACTTCTGGGGTGCATTTTCTACTCTTCTAATAACAGGGTACGTGATGCTTGGGTGCTTTGAATGCCTTGGAGAAAAAAGGATTTATGAATTCTCTGAACTAAACTCATGTTTCATATAGTTCTTTAACCATCAGCACTTATAGTGATGGTAGAACTACAATATACATAAAAGAAAATGGCATGAGCTATGCTGCTGAAAGAATAATTTGGCTGGCTGGATTGTTTTTCTGACATGTTTTATTTCAGTGGACCAAGTTCTGTACAGATGGAAGATGGCAACAAAGCAATAGCTACTGTGACTGGTCTTCAGGTTGGTACCTATCGCTTCAGGCTGACCGTGAAAGACCAACAGGGCTTAAGCAGTGCATCTGTGCTATCTATTACTGTGAAGGAAGGTAAGCCTAGTTGCTGCTTCTTAGGATATGATAAGCAACTTGCCAGTTAATTCAATCACTGACAGAATGTAAAGGAAGTAGGAACAGAAAGGGATAATATATTTGTTGTCATATTTCAAGGGTATTAGGAGTTACTGCTATTTTGTAATAAAGGAGTATTGTGAGTAACTGGTAGAATTAACTTCACTTATTGCAAGCTTTTTAGAAGTTAAATATATGCAGAATTAGTTGTAATAAAAATGCTCAAAAATACTATTTTTGAACATGATGTGACTACTTCATTAAGAGGATACATTTTCATTTTATTCTCAAACTTATGCTTTGAGTAGAAAAGCAATTTTACTGTGTGTTTTAAGTAACATCCAAGACAGGAGGTCTCAGGCTATATCTATTTCCACTTAAAAACTTTTAATGTTAAGACCTGTGTTTATTTTGGTTTTTTGATACAGAGAAACAGTTTCTGTGGTGGTTTGTTTTTTGCTGGTTTTTTTTCCCCCCGATATGCATTCTATAGAAGAGCCTTTAGGATAGTAGTACCTGTTGTGAAAGATAAGAGTTGCTGTCAGGTACTCCTGACAGATTTCATAGGTTGTTTGGCTTTCTGTTGCATACCTTGTTTTTTGAGAGGAGCAATGCACTCTGGCTCTGCAGATATGGTACCCACACCATTTATGAAATGATAGCAGAGTTGCATCAGAATCTTATCTGCTGACTTTTTTTGAAAACAGTGCAGCCTTGTTTCTTTTTGACTTTTTGAACAAATGCATCTTGGAGAAGAACCTGGACTCAGTTTTACCCACATGGGTCATTGGTTCCAGAGTTTCAGTTAGGTGTTTAATCAGAAACACATGACAACAGCTCTGCCCAGATGTGTCTTATGGTCTCATTTGTGCTGTGAATTGTAGCCATAGTATGTACTGATATACAGTCACAGGTTCAGTGTTAAAAACATTTAATGCTCCAATAACCAAGTTTAATCAACTGGTTTATTTGGAAGAGACAAGAAGATCACTTGTATCACAGAGAACTCTATGCTGTTGTAAAGAATAGAGTTACAGTCAATGAATGCTCTAGAGATCTGCCCAAAATTGAATTATTTATGTCCAATCTAATACTGAGACCAGTGAGGTATTTCACTCAGCCTTATAGCTTCCTGGAGCTCTGTCTTATCGGATGTGTTCTAAGCAAAAGTCGATGTCTGGTTTCTGGAAAGAGAATGTGTTGATGTTTCTTTGGTGTTTTTTGGCTATACTCCCAATGCATGCCTTAATTTCACTGCTAGTGGTAAGCAAAAATCATTCAGGAACTGGGCTTACTCAAAGTTTCCTGAATACACTTTGCCTAAATACAGGCATTGTGAAGATACAAGACCTTACACAAGCTTCTGTTAGGTAGTAAGTTATTCTCAAGGCAAGAAGAGCCCAGCATGGTGATTTCATGCTGGGCTGTGTTTCTAAGTAGGCAGAAAATCTTTTTGCCTGACTGAGATGATCTGACGCATAAGTTGTGAGACTGTAAATAGAGTACTCCATAATGCTTTTTGAAAAAGATATTTTTGGATGGTACCTCTTGCTGGTATTCTCCTCATGGTGCAGCTCTGCTTTTGTCAGGTTGTAATAATCCCAGAGCTAGATTCTGTATACCCCGTGCATCCTTTCCCTGTACCTTTGACACAAGATTCTGTTGTTACTGCCTGTAATTATCAGGTAGATTGCAGTGTGGGTGTATTGGCAATGGCATACCACATTTTGCATGTTTTCAAAGCAAATCCTTCTCCTCCACTATTTCTGTGGCTAGAAAACAACAGTCCACCCCGGGCGCATGCTGGTGGGAAGCATGTTCTAGTGCTTCCAAATAACTCTGTTACCTTGGATGGCTCAAGGTCTGCTGATGACCAGGGGATTGTGTCGTATTTGTGGATTCGGGACGGTCAAAGCCCAGCAGCTGGGGTAAGTTTCTTGAAGGTTGTCAAGACCTTGACTGGAGTCAAATTCAGCTCTTGTTATGGGTATAGTATCACTGCAGCAGGGCAAGCAGGTACGATGCATAAGATGCTGTGAGGCATGGTGTCTGTTTCTGGTTTGTCTCCCCTGCTCTCTCCAATGCTTTTGTTCAAGGGGCTTGTGATTATTTTCAGTACAGCTATAGAATATAGTAGCTGAGTAAGAGGACTTCAGCAGTGTGGACTTAGTTGGGAAAGACTCGAGACAGAAGAATAAAGTTGGGGCTCTTAAAGAGTAATCAGTGATAATATCAAGCTAATGTTTGTTAGAGGAAAAATAATCTGGAATCCAGATATTCCAAAGGAGGATTTGCTCTGGGAGAACAAGAAGTGCCGATAAAGACTAAAGAAACATGTCTGGTACCAGATGAGGCAAAACTTGTGGTTTGTTAAGATAACAATGGTGTTTGGCAGTAGATGTATTAGATACCTTGCCTGGCAGACCACGGTGAATAGCCTGGGTTATTAGGGCAGTGGAGTCTGCTCTCTTGAGTGGGGACAGACAGCTGAAGTACCTCATAGTAAACTGAAATTTATATGTCAGCTACTAAAACTGTGATAACTTCTTTTGCCTATCTGCACAAGGTGCGGTGGACAGCTCTTCACAGTCGGGAAGATAATGGCAAATCGGCAAGAACTGTGAGAGGAGAAACAGCAGAACGATAATAAAGCTTCTAGAAACAATTCACATGAGGGTATAATAAGAATTGAAGACATTTAGTTTAAATATAGCTGGCAAGATGATAGTTGGAAATACATGAAATCCAAGGAAAGGAAATAATTCAGGAGTTAAGAAAGCAGAACTAAGGATATTGGAGTAAAATTGAGAAATAATAATGTAACTGTCTCAGGTTTTCAAGCAGACGAGTACTTGAGAATGTCAGCTGTTCTTGTGGGGTTTTTTTTAATGAAAATATCCATACTGTGCAGACATCCTCACTAACTCCTACTTCCAAATTTGCTTTACTCTGCTATAAACCTTGCATAGGTCACATTTGTCCCAAAAGCCAAAGCAAGAACTTACACTGTCATATCAGACAAGACCTGACTTGATAGTCACACCTGCAACTTTCTCTGAGGTTAGGTATAATCATCCTGGTACCTCTTTTGCAGGATGTGATCCATGGCTCAGACCACGAGGCAGTACTGCAGCTAACTAATCTGGTGGAAGGAACCTATACTTTTCACTTGAAAGTGACAGATGCCAAAGGAGACTCAGATATTGATTCAGCCACTGTTGAAGTGCGGCCTGGTATGACAATTAAAAGGTCATCAGTACGTTGTGAATACCTCATCTTTGTTCTCCTTTTCGTTTATTTATTTCAATGTTGACAAGATTCTCTCAAGTTAAAACACAAAGCAAAAAGGTCTCTTCCTACCTTCTTACTGTTCTCTCAATAGGCCTGAGTGTGTTAGAAGATGGCATGTCGGGATTGTTAACTACCAATTACTGGAAACATAAATAAATAAAAATCATACTTCCTAGTTAATATTTTTCATTAATTTTTTGTTGCTTTTCATTCACTGTAGGTTTTTGTTTCCATTGGCCAAACTGATTAACAACCAGAAAAAAGAAAGCGATGGGAGTTGAGCATTAAGTTTACATACAAATGCTGCAGTTGTGTTTGATGGTTGAATTGTGGTTTTATGCTTATTTTCCTTCTCTAATCCTGAAGGACAAAAAAAACCCTCAGAGAATTTCAGGGTTTTTTTAAATGGCTTTTCATGGTTTGATATTGCTGATATATGGACTTGTTTTCAAATGCAGGATAAATGGCTATGTGATGGAAGCATAAGTTGAGGTTTCAGGAAATGAGTCTGAAATCATGGGTCTGTCAGATTTCTTGTTTGTCTGATTCCTGGGCAATGATTTCATATCTGTTCCTTACTTTATTGTTGAATGTAGTCACACTAAATGGCTCAGGATTCTCGTTGGATATCTGTGAAGCTTGTTTTGTTTTGCAAGGCACTCTAGAAGTTCAAGTATTATTTAACAGAAGCCTCAGTTTGTGAAGGTAAACATATTTGATATTTCTCAAATTGAACATCCTCGCTTAGACTTGCTCACGCAGTCTTGCATGTTACCATATGAGTCCATCTTTGCCTCCCTTTTCTTGGGTGGTAGTCAGCAGTAGATAACTAGCAGGGAACTTAAGAATTAGACTCACCTAGTGCTTACCTCTGACCTTAAGATGGCAGCATTTAGACGGACAGAAGTTGCTGTTCTGCACAGAAATGTGTTAACAATGAGCTGAAGTACACATTGAAGTGCTTGCTTTCAGCTGCTAAGCTGGGTTACTACCTTAGGACCCATGAGGTTTGTTTCAGAGGGAATGTGAAAATATAGGCCAAGTACTTTTCTAAGAACACAAAAGTGTTGAGTTATAAGTAATATGAGTCTTACACAGGAAAATACAGTATTAATAAATGTGTTTGAGTACTGCATGTTGTCTTTAGTTAGTACTGAAATATTTGCTAGGCTCTGAAAGAATAGTATGGTTTTCTTGTCAGATCCCAAAAGGAGTGGTCTGGTGGAGCTGATTCTGCAAGTTGGCGTGGGACAGCTGAGTGAACAGCAGAAGGACACCCTGGTGAGACAGCTGGCTGTATTACTGAATGTTTTGGATTCAGATATCAAAGTTCAGAAGATACAAGCCTACTCAGATATAAGGTACAAAGATACCCTGCTGTGCCAGGAAGATTTGTGATTTTCATTGACTCTTTAACAGCTTATAATTAGTTGCAAAGTAATGTAGAAAAGATGACAAAAATGCTATAGCTCTCAGCAGTGTATACTTTAAAAGGTGAATTTCTTCTGCTGTGGTAGGAAGTTCATGAAGTAAGGTCTCTTGGAGGGTCAGAACTGAAGTGTTTTGTTTAAAAAAAAAATTAAAAATTCTCTGAATAGTTTTTTTTTTATTTTATTCCTTTAAAGAAAGCGTGTGCATATATTTCAATGTCTTCGTTCCATACAGTGCTATTATTTTTCCCAAATGCTGGCTGGAGTGAGACAAACAGATTTCTCATAGTGAAGAGTTTTTGTATTTCAAAATAAGGTTCCAGTTGTATCTGATCAAACCTCTTTTATTCCCCTTATCTTTGACTTCCTTTCTAAGGTTTTGATATTCTAAGTATTTTATAAACATTTTCCCAGGTAACTAGTGACAAAAATCTCCCCCCCGCCCCCTCCAAATACTCCTAAGTGTGGTATCTTACTCTGAAGTAGAAATAGCCCCTCTACTTGGTGTAGAGGCCTAGAGATGGCTGTGCATACCCAGAGAAACTTCTCTGCATGATTGGTAGAACCTGTTGACATGATTTATCTTTAAATTACTGCTTTTTAACTGCTTGGTAATTTAAAACCCATTTTGGTGTCTTTTTAGCTCTCTGGGAACATCTTAATTTTAAAACAAACAGTTTGGAAAATCTAGCATGTATAGCTATGGTATTTTTAATCACAGCTTCCAATTACTGCGTTTCAGATAAAGACGTTCCCTGAAGTGTCTGACACAGGATGAGACCACCACCACCCAACCTGATAAAAAAAAAAAGTGGGTAGAGGAAGGAGGGCTCCCACATGAAGTTCTCTGGCTTCTTGGTTTCTGAGCTTTTCTTCCTCTTAAATTCACTTTCCTAACATTACTCAAACTGCTTCAGAGTGCTTTGTGACAGATTCTAGGTGAGAGTGGGGAAAGCACATGTATACATACCTCTCTTAAAGTAAGGGTCAGGAAGACCAAGGAGGGAATTACATTTCCTGTTGTCCTCACCTTTCTTCTGTGAAACTGAGGAGCTGGAGAACTGCTGGCGCTTCCAGCTCAGAATGAAGTCCATGGCTTTCTGATGGAGCTGACTGATCCGTGGACAGAGTTCCCTAGCCTTTATCAGTGGTGATATTTGCTTTCAAGGAACAAAACCAAAGGCTGTAAACCGAATGCCTGGCAAAAGTGATCTTTGACAGCAGTCATGACCTTAGTTGTTCTTTCTGCAGCACTGCGATTGTGTTCTACGTGCAGAACGGGCATCCTTCCAAGGTGATCAAGGCGTCAGATGTCTCGCGAACTCTGCATGTGCAGCTTTTGAAAGAGAAGGCTGACTTTCTGCTTTTTAAAGTCCTGCGGGTTGACACAGCTGGTATGTTTTGGATGGTGCTTGCTCATCTCGGAACTTTGCAGGCTTTTTGGCTAACACAGCACCTGGAAACAGTGCATGAAGGCCTTCTGTCTGCCATCTGGTGTCTGGGCTTGGATGTAGCTTTCCGCAACATGACGTTGAAGACAATACCTAAAATGCTCATTTGTGGTAGACTGGTGCTAGTTACTTGTGTTCTTTTAAAAGACATCATCTGTAACAGCAGGCAAAAGCACATCCTAATCTGCTCTCCACCAGGAAGGTGTGGGGAATGAGGATAAAGATACCACACTCATACCACCTTTTGTTGAAAGACAGACAAAACTTAGTATAGCTATAATATAGAATGTTTCATGTCCCTCCTTCCTTCAAGGCTTTTAGTGTTCAGTAGTAGGCTTGTAATTTAATTTGTTTTTATCTATCTGTATCAGGCAAAATGCTCAGGTGATCACTGTGTTATAACCTAGTCTTCTAATATTTGCAATGTAGACAGGCCACTGGAGACTCATAACGAACTTTTCCTTTTCCCCAAAAAAGATACTTGAACTTCTAAGCCTATTTTAAACTTCACTAGTAATGTGAACCCTTTATGATACTCAGATATTACAGATACGACTTCTCCATAATTTAAAATCAGGACATAATTATCCAAATGCAGACAGAGAGAGTGAGCTCTGGTAATAAAATAGTCATCGATTCAGTAACCAATTATGTCTTTATTTACCTGTTGAAAAGGACTGTTATTCCATTGTAAATGTACTTGGATTACCAAAATACATAGGTGTCACTTGAAAATAAAGATTAACATTTTTCTTGTCATAGCAAATGTGCTACTCTAAGTTTTAAGAGGAATAACTTTTTATTTTAGTCTGATAGGACACATTGTTCTAGCAATAGCTACTACTATAAGCGTATGAGGTCTGTAAATGTTCTGGCCTCAGATGCTGTAATTCAGTTTTGAAATACTGAAATACACTCCAGTTTATTGGTGTGATGCTTGTCTTCTAGTACCTGAGAACACTGATATTCCTCAGTTCTCAGATACTTTAAAAGTTCTTACAAATATGTCATAAAGAAAGGAGCAGATCTGAATTCCACAACCTCAGCTCATTTTTATTTCTGGCTAGAATAAACTGTTCTTGACTTGCATACAATTGCAGTATTGCTGAACTGTACATCTATTTAACACATAACACCAAAGGAAAGAGAGATTTAAAAAAAAAAAATCAGAATGTTATGAACTAGATGCTTTACCACCAATCTAGTCTTACAGTAAGAGGATATGTGACAAGTTGTCCATTTATACAAATGACTCTATGTTTGCTTTTCTTAGCCTGCCTTTTAAAATGCTCTGGACATGGACACTGTGACCCCATAACAAAGCGCTGCATTTGCTACCAGCTGTGGATGGAAAACTTGATTCATCGTTATCTAAATGATGGAGAGAGTAATTGTGGTGAGTTTGGGTGTTGTGGGATATATTTCAAGAATAACTTGGCTTATTCTGCTGTCAGAATGGGGAGTACTTAGGAGGTAGATGCTGAGGGAAGACTAAACCTGTCTCTTTATTTTCCAGCTCAGCAATGTCTTTCTATAGAAAGATATTTGAACAACATCTTGAAATTATAATGTCTTGACAATAGTAGCCTTTATTTAAAATATTTTAAAAGTTTAAATTTTAAAAAGTATCACTATTTGAGGAAAAAAGCATGAAAACTTTGTCATGGGAGACAGATCTTGCAAGATCTCTTGGGGGCCAATTGGAAGGGTTGTTGAATAGTGTGGACACTGCAAAGGTTTGGAGTACTATTCATCTGATTGTTGCAAAGCTGAAAAAGAGGCAACTACTTAGATATTCTGAGTGGGTGGTTGATGCTGCTGTGCCAGAAGTATGATCTGACCTCAGGAAAGAAAACACTTGTGTTCTGGACTAACCAATGTGGTCTCCTTTAAAACCTCAGCTTTTTAGTATGATTAATTTCACTGTTTCTTTCAGTTTACCTCTTGCACCTGGGGAATGCAGCTTAGTTTCATCAACTGAATCATGTCTATGTTCTGTGGCACACCTAACATAACAGCTAAGACTCTCTATTTCAAGTTTCAAATTTAACTAAGTTGGTCTTCTGCTTAAGTTGAAATAAAGCTCAACTCTTAGTACTGTGTAGGCTTGGAGACATTTGCTGAGCAATGCACTAGTTTTCAAGTAATTCTATAGAAATTTATAAGGAGCACATGCCAGTTGCTACAAGCCATTAAGTAACCGTGGGCCATGTGTCTGTCTGTTATGAGCAAAGACTAATTAACCAACCAAATGGACAGTAGGTTTTAAGCTTGAGGCTGGGGCCTCCTGGAGCCCTGCCCTAGTGCTGTGTCATTTCATAGTGTAATAGTAACACTGAAATAGTGAGTATACACATATTTTTATATCCTTCTTGTGTGTTCCTGGGTTTACAAATGTAAGCGTGCAGGTAGAAGGATCTATCTCTATTCAGCTGCTCTTTTAACGCACTACTAAACACGCCAGACCCAGAGTACACCTGTGTTTATTTCAGTTAGAGGATGACAACTGAGATGGTAACCTTGCCCCTTTGACTTCTAGTTCCCCACATAGCCTTCAGGTATCTTGGGATGGTAAAAGGTATTGGAGTGGAAGAAAATTTTCAAACAGGCACTTTCAATTTGGAAGCTTAAGAATTTTTTTGACATTCTTCTGAGAATATGAAGGTGCTATGTTCCTGTTGCCACTCCCTGTTCCTCAGGCTTGGTTATTTTAATACAGTTGTATTAGAAATTCTCCTATTCATATTACTCTACAGAGCACTGTTGTGTTTCTTTTTTTCAGAGTGGAGTATACTCTATGTGACTGTATCTGTTTTTATTTTGATTGTGGTCATGGTAGGGCTTGCCTGGTTCTGCATCTGCTGCTGCAAAAGGTACGTGATTTGTGTTTCTTTTGATGGGGTACATGCTAAAACTACACACAACTGCCACATTTTAGTCCAGTCCTTAGCACTAAATCACTCGACTCTCTTCAGACACGTGAGGAGTTTCCTGTAGCTATTTCTGTAGAGACACACTTTTGTTGAAAAAAAGAGTATCCATTTGTGTCTTTGTGCTCTTCTGCATTTCAAAAAAAACAAAAAATCGATACTGGATATCTCTTTATGTTACGAGGTAATTTATGTTTAAATGCTGAGTGTATACTGCAGATCTTCATGGTCACCCAGTGAGTCCTCCAGGTACTCCATGCTAAGAAAAGAAGCACACCCTGAATGTCACTGACGTGGGAATGTTCTAGGCCATGGGAAGGGAGCTGCTCCCAGCCTGGTGTCTCCCTTGGACAGGAAGGGTGGACATGTGAGATGCATCTGGCTGGCAGGCAGACAGTCTCACCCATGCAAACTTCTTGCTTCCTCTTTCCTTAAGTGATTTTGCCTACTACTGTATGTTGTTTCCCCCTCTGCCCTCCCCGCCTCCTAGTCTTTCCTAGTGAGCTGGTAAGAAATTCTCTTTCAAGTGACAAGTCCCTGCAAGTTCTGTCGCTAGAGCAAGTGTTTTTGCTGCTGCTCAAAAAGCACAGCAAATAGATAACTTGTTCAGGTGTTAGCAAAAATGAAATGCTGTCAAAGTCTTTCTGGATCTTCAGCTTTTTCTAGGTTGCCTTTCAGTATGTAAAGGATGCCATTTGAAACATGTGGGAGTTGATACTCCTTTCCTTTTTATGGTTGAAGGAACAGTCCTGTTAGTAGAAAGGTTTAAATAGAAGTGTGTCCCACTCTACCCCCACAGTGTGGGGTGGAGCCTCACAGTCTTGTGTGGATTTGATGAGAAAGGGATTGTTTATGGACTTCAGCTGCTTCTGTCCTTGGTCCTCATGGGGCTTGTAACAGAGAGTGTGTGCTGGTTGACACAAGTATGTGTAAAAAAGAGGAGGAAAATGCTGCATAAGACAGAATGCCAAGAGATGCCCTTTGCCTTGTGGAAACTACAGGAAAAAGATACACTGTGTTCCACGATTTGTCTGAAGTTTTGGAGGTTTTAAAGGCTTTGAGTTGCCAAATGAACATTTTTTAGATGGCTGTAGAGGGGAGGCCAAGTGGCGGGCTGTTGCTGTAATGTTGGCTGAGCAGTAGGTGGCTTCTCCCCTGCAAACTGTGCAATCTGGGTGGGAGTGCTTCTCCAGACATTGCTTTGACAAAGGGCACGTCCCACCTACACACCCCCCTCCAAAGTTTTGAGAAAAGGGGCCAGAAAAATGCCTGAGGTGTGCCAGCTTCTTCTAGGAAGTGCCCGTTTGGTTTCATGGGTGAATGCCTGTATTTCTACCCTGAAATGCTTTGTTCCTTCTCAGTCCAATACAACAAACAGTTCTGTGTCTGTTCCTATAGCTTCAGAACTTTCTCTTCTGTAAGCAAGTCAGTCTTTCTTGTTTTCTTCATCTTTGTATGTCCAAGAGAGAAAATAAATTAATACCCTCTGGTCCAGATTGTACAGCTGCTTTATACAGGTATAAACTGGAACAACTCTGCAGAGGGATCTGGACAGGCTGG